CCAACTCGCCATCTGAAAACAGATGGCTTCCAAATGCTACTATGAACAGCTTCACAAGGGAAGACAAGGCTCAAGGAGAACCGTTCCTAAGTTTCCATGTCAGCCGTGTCCGTCCACCGAAGCCCGTCCTGCACCCGGCCACACTAACCTCTGAAGCTGCACTGCTCGCCAGCCCATGCGAAGGCAGCCCGATGCCTGGCTGCTAAGTTCTTAGCTGTTCTCACCCTAATGCTGGTACCGAAACCTTGCAGAGAAAGCCACTGCACAAAAACACAGCAGACTGCTCCGCTAACAGAGAGTGCGCCAGAAGTGCGGGGAGAACAGAGTGTGTTAGGAGATGGTGTCGGGTTTTTATCTCCCTGTTATGTTGACTGGATCGGCCTGTGAGAGTTTCTGGGGAGTCCCAAATAAAAATAAATCTTCCGTATGTGGAATGTGGGTTATCCGCGGACCAAGCGAGGGCGCTCAGGAAGACACAAGGCAAAGACCACAGACTCATGACTGAGGCGGATCCACCCCACAGACAGATTTCGTTTAACCCGCAGTGTCAGAATGACATTTGGACAATTTTTTCAATGAGTTACCAGCCCTTAAAAAATGGCAAGAGTCTTGGAAGAGTGCTGTATGAACACCCCAATGTGTTCACGCCCCCCGCATCCAGACACCTGGGCAACTCCACACTGACTCCAGGCATGGCTGTAACAGGGCGCAGCAAAGAGGGGGGCCCCAGAAAAGGATTTGAGATGGGGTCCAGAGCTCAGGGTGTCCAGGAAATATTAAGATGTCCCCCCCACACAGGAGGAAGGGACAAATGGAGCAGAGCCATTGAGAGCTGTTTTGCACAGCAACAGTTTCCGTAGCTAACCTCTGGAAAGGCCATTTAATATATCTATAACCTTTAACTGGTTTCATAGATATGTTAAATAGCTGTGGCCACACTCTGAGCCAGGGGCGTTGGAAGTGACTTCCACCCAAGATGTAACTAGGGGGCAGGTCCCCTGAGTTACAGCACCTGCTTGAGAGCTTGGAGTTGATTGGCTCCACACCATGGGGCCAATCCTGCCCAGACTCACAATGGCAGCCCAGTAAACTTGTAATAATATAGGAGTCTTGGCAGGTGTACCAATTGTGGGAGGAGTCAGAAATGGGGCTGCAAAGGAGGATTGGTGCAGGGATTTAAACTCAGACACCACAGCCACTGGGGAGAGAGCCACGTGGTTGTGGAAGAGTGTAGACCCCTGCAGCCATTGAGGGAGAGATCCATGCGGTTTTGGGCAGTTAGGACCCCCTCTTACCGAGGTGAAAGAGAGAGCCACACAGCTTTGCCAGAATGGAGATCCCTGCAGCCAGGTGAAGAAGAAAGCCACACATTTTTGGTCAGACTGTTGACCCCTGCAGCTTTGGTAGAAGAGGCCCACGTGGCTTTCGCCACGTGGCCTGGGAAGCAGGAGAGACTTTGCCTGAAAGAAGGGTGAAAGAACTCTTGCCAGTGGACCGTGAGAAGGTGCCGCATGACTTTGGATGAACTGGAGATCTTGCCCAGACAGCGACACAGCTCACGGTGCCAGCGACCTGAAACACAGACCTATGCTTCTTTTCCTGGGATACGGTACCCCGAATTAGGGCAGGGGGAGAAGGAAGCACTGTGTGCGTCTATGGTTATCCTAAAATACTCTGATATTTTTATGGGGACACTGGGTCACACTTTAAGTCTGTACAGCTTTAAGTAAACCTTTCCTTTCCTTTTCACAAATCTCTGGCATTGAGAGATGTCTTTCCAACTGGCAGCAGACAGAGGAGCCTAGTAGGTATTAATATACCATCCTTGGGAGGGGTCTCTGTTGTTCTATAGCAGTTTTTGGCATCCCTCGGTGGGCCAAATATTGCCCCCGCCTTGGACCTCTGTTCAGTAACATGGCCACATGGCCTGCTCTGGGCAATGTGACAATAACAAACATGACTGCAGTCTCTCTAGGCAGAGACTGCAGAAGCATTGAATCTTGCCCTCCTTCTGCTTGCACAACTAAGAGAAGGCCCACAGGACTGACCTGCTGAGTGATAAGACATCTATCCTAAACACACACACTGGGCCAACAACCAGCAAACTGACCAGCACGTAACCTCAGACGTAAGTGAGCTCATCCGTGCTCAGCCCTAACTACCACCCTGCGACATGCTGAGCTAAGTAGTACAGTTTTAAGCCAAAATTTTTAGTGTTTTTTATGCAGCAAAAACAGAGTCCACATGAAAATACATATTCCCAATTCAAAACAAAACCAAAAATGTCAAGACTGCAACACTGGGCCCACATTCCTACATGGGAACAAGCAGTTGACACAGGCAGCGGCTACCGCTTTTGGCCCAGTGACAGCACGAGTTTCCCAGTTTGTCACTAGCATCTAACCCATGATCGGGTCAAGTTCAGCTGCTACATGTTGTCTTGGTTAGGTGTTGTCATATTTTTATGGCGAAGACCATCATGAAATAGCACAGTCCATATATCTGAGTTATTATCACAAGCAAGAGCACTGGTACAATCAATCCCTTTGGAAAACTGTTGGTCAGTACCTGCTAATGTTGCACATATGCACACTTCACGTCCTGGGATTCCACGGCTAGGTGTGAACCCGAGAAAAATGAGTGCACGTTCCATAACATGCACAAGACGTTTGCCGCACTATTTCCAGACGGTCCCGGACTGGCTATTACCCAGCCGGTTATCAGCAATGTCCATCAGTGGAGTAAATAAAACGTGGCACGTTCACAAGGATGAGTCTCCCACATAACACTGCGCACAAGAACCCAGACACGAGAGAGCACATGCTGTACAAATCTACTCACGTAGTTCAAACGCAGACAAAGGAAAACAAGGCGTCGGGAGTCGGGTGAGTGGTGGCCCGTGGGCATATGCCTCGCTGTGAACCAGCACACGTGAGGATTCCAACAGGCTGGTGATACTGTTCTCTGATCTGGTGCTATTTACATGGACATGCACACTTGAAAATTCACCGCGCTGTACATTTAGGATCATACACTTCGGTGCAGAGTTTGAATTTTTAAAGAAACTTTAGAAGTGGAAAACCAAGAGGATGGCCATGTTTCACAAACAGGACTTCAGGTGTCAGGACCTCAGACCAAAGGAAGGTGTGCCCCAGAAAATATCTAAGATTTGCCTGATCATCCCTACCACCAGGTTTCTGGGCGCCTCCTCCAGAGATCGAGGAAGCAGGTCTGGGGAAGGGCCAGAACCTATATATTATGTTAAAGATTTCTTTTTAAAGAGAGGGGAAAGGAGGGAGAAAAAGAGAGAGAGAAACATAGATGTGTGAGAGATATACATCTATCGGTTGCCTCTCACATGCCCCCAACTGGAGACCTGACCCACAACCTAGGTATGTGCCCTGACTGGGAACTGAACCGGCGACCCTTTGGTTGGCAGGCTGGCACTCAATCCACAGAGCCACACCAGCCAGGGCAAACCTCTATTTTAATACAGCTTAAGGTGATTCTTACGCCAAGTCAGTTTGGGGGAAACTCCTTACCTGGTGAAATATAGAGCCCAGCAGACCTGCATCCAAATTCAATCCCTAGAATTTATCAGCTGGTTATGCCAAGGCCAATTATAGAAAACCTCTTCGACTCTCCTTCATTTTAAAAGACTAACAAGCCTACTTCCCAGAGTTTTGTGAAGCCCCCAGACACTGCCACCTTCAGTGGGGTGGATTTCAGGCCCCACATTTGCCTTTGTCCTAATAACCCACCTTCTTGTTTATTTCTGCTCCCATGGGCTGGTCTTGCCTCGGCCTACAAATCTACTTCCGGGGGGAACAACTTCGGCACAGATCTGGACTGATCTGGCCTGATCAGGTGCTCGGCCACCTTCCCAAGGCACTGATGTCAGACTGATTTCACACCTGTCAGACTTCTTCAGGGATGACCCACTTTTTACAGCAGCAGGCGTGATACCAGCATACATATGTATAAGAAGTGTCCCCTTAAATGAGGTTTATAACATGCACATACACAAGAAAAGGTTATATCTAACATTAGAGGTAAAGCAGAGCATGGAACCAGACATCTGGTAAAATCACACAGCTATTAATATTATTAGAATATAACCACATAATATGTAAAATACTGAGCCACCATTCATCAAAACCACCTGCCAATAACAGAATTGCTCCCACCCATTTAAGCAGCTGTAGAAACCTAACTTAAAATGAACCATTAAACCTGCTGTCTTGTTCGCTTAACCATGGATACGTTTCAGGTGGTGAGTCTGATTGTCCCAACTCCGTGAAGGCGGCTTATTTAGTGTGGGAGGGGCGGGGTGGGGGTAGGAGGGAGGTTCGGAGAACATAAGGATTCTCATCTTCCTCCAGATTCGCCCAAAGGTCCCACAAAATGATAAGAACCTCCATACTAATGATAGTACCCAAGGATTCTACCTTGTTTCTGCTTTCATTATTATTGAAGGAATATATGCACAGTCAGCTTAAATAGTACAACCAGTTGTACTATTGTACAGCTTAAATAGTACAACCAGTTACCCAGAGACAAGTTAAAATTCCTTCCTATCCGTGTCCTGGGTCCTCCTCCCCAAAGGCAACCTTGCTGAAAGTTTAGGAATACTTCCGGGGCAAGATTTCTCAGTCTTAAACTTACTGACGTTCTGGGCCAAATAATTTGTGTGGGGTGCGCCTTCCGGTGTGTTGCAGAACATATACGAGCACCCCTGTCCTCGTCTCATAGCAGCGCGCCCCCCTCCCCGTTATGGCGTCCAAAACTGTCTGCAAACACTGCAGAATCGGGGTCAAAGTCGTCCCAGTTGGGAACCACTACTTGATACTCCGAGCAGACACGGAACTTGTGTTCCCTTACTTGCTTTTCTCCCCTCATTGGTGACACAGAGTTACTTTCCAACTCACTGGGGGGTTGGTACCGAGAGCGGGGGGGGGGGGGGCTGGCCGTGGCCTCGGCAGGAGGCGAAGGCCACTCACCAGATCGCGGATGAGCTGGTCCACCAGCTGCTCCCCTCCCCCGGCGCCCTCATGGGTTGAAGGGGAGCGGGAACGGCTCGCCGAGTCCTGCTTCTCGGCCCGGGTGGTCCGTGCTGCCGGAGGCCGCCCCGCGCCCTCCAGAAGGCCCTGAGCCAGCGCCAGGTACCCCGAGGCCTGCTCCCCGTGCTCAGGGGTCCCCTCGGGCCGCCGCGGCCGCCGCCGCTTCCTCAGGGCCTGGGACTGTGCCAGCTCCTCCTGCCAGCGCCGGCGGAAGTCGTCCAAACTGTGGTCGTCCATGGCCCGCGCCCCTCACACGCCCGGGTTCTGCCGGTACCACGGGATGGTCCCTCAGCGGGATGTGTCCGCAGCAGCGGAAACCAGAGCTATGGCCGCACTCGAGTTCCGGGTCGGCGGCCCCGCCCCCGGCGCGCCCCTCGTGCCGCCCCGGGCACCAGTAGCTTTCAGGGCCCTGAATTGGAAAGAAAGGCATACAGTCGCAGTCCATCTTCAGATGGTCTGCGGTTCCTGCTGTTGCCTTCTCAGAGTTTTTCTCCCCACCTTGACCTGGGTAACTCTATACGTCTTTCATATCTCAGCTCATACATTATTTAATCTTCCAGTCCCCGCCAAGCCCTCCCAAAAAATCAGGTCTGTGTTGCTCATTCTTAAAGCATCCCATCCTTATTTTAGCACAGAATACAGCTTGTAATTTTATATTTGTCTGATTGTTTATTAACATCTCCCTTCCCCACTGGACTGTTAAATTCCTAGCTTGGAGGTTGGTGATTGGTAGGCACTCAAATATTTACTGAATAAATAACCCCTTAAGATGGGAACCATTGTCCCGCACTTTACAGATGAAGAAACTAAGCCAAAAATCACACAGCTGGTAATTTGCACACCACCATTTCTAAGTTTGTTTGTTTTTTTAACCCCACGTCTGACCTGTTAGTTATTAAATGATACAGCCTACCAGGCTAAGCCATCTAGAAACCATTTGGCTGCCTCTAGTTACCGTGTTTTATTTTTTCAATTCAGTGATATTAACAGTGGGATTATTAATCATTGGCGCTCCAGAGCCAGACACACCTAGGCAAGCATCTCAGGGCCCTCATTTATTCACGTCCCCTTTGTTCTAGCAATTCTACTTCTAGGAATTTATCCCAGAAGAAGAAAGTTGAGAAGAGTCCAAAGAATACCTTCAAGAATATTCACAGAAGCACTGTTTATAGTACTGAAAGTCAGAACCAGTTTAAACAGGGCACTGATTAAATAAAGTCTCCCCATTGGAATGTAAGAGAGATCCACAAGAGCAGAGACCTGATTTATTGGGTTGGCCAAAAAGTCCATTTAGTTTTTTCCGTAAAATAAAAGACACAGTTTTTATTTTCAGCAATAACTTTGTTGATTTGGGTATTTCAAGTATGTCGGCCATTGGATTCTAATGGACATAGGCCCGGGGTGCTGCTAAATATCTTCCAATGCCCCAGACAGCCCCAGAACAAAGAATTATTTGGCAAAAATGTCAACAGTACCAAGAAACTTCACAAACCACTTTTGACACATTTGGTCAGTCACAGCACTTTCTCTACACACTGCACAAACCTCTTTTTACATTTCAGTTGAGTTTTTACCTTTCTTCAAATATTAAAGCATAATATGGTAAAAATGTTGCACATCTTCCATTTTCAATATTAAAATGGCTGGACAAAAAAATCCAAATTCACGCTGATACAGCAGCTGTCACAACACAATCTAACAAAAGTGTTGCAAATGAAGTTAAAGACAACTAAGCAGTGCTAGAGTCATTGTATGGAAAAAGCTAAACAAACATTTTGGCCAACCCAATATTTATTCATTGCTATGTCTTCAGCACTCAGAGTAGTACCTGGGACATAGTAGCTGCTCTATAAATAATGAATAAATGAACAACTGTGCCACTACTAAACAATCACATTAGAAAAATTTAATGAAATGAACAGATTTGCACAGTACAGCAAGTGAAAAAAGCAAGGTCATGCTGTACTACTTATAACCATAAGTACAGCATTACCTTAGTAATGTCTTTAAAATAAAAGCATGCATGCATTTAAAAAGACTATGCTTCCAAATCTTAACAGAACAGGTTTCTAGAGTGGACAGGATTATGGTCTTTATCTGTATGTTCTAACTTTCTACAGTGAAGCACAGCCTGAGGCTGGGCTTGCAGGAAGCTTGTTATTTGTGGAAGTGATCCCGGAGAACAGGAGCTGGAGACCCAGAAGAGGGAAATGGGAAGGAGGGACAGCTAATCCAAAGAGCGTTCCTGAGCTGGTGCTGCTATGAGCAACTTACACTCCATCCCACTGGGAACTTCTAAGGAGCCATGAAGAACACACCTCAGAACTGCCTTCTCAAGAGATAAGAGCTGGAAGAGAGGAGTATTCACCCACTGGCTCATCCTCCATTAGAGAATGTTTCAGCCAGGAGTTTTTCATAATCTCCCACTTCCAGGCTGAGTGTAAGTACATGCATTCCCGTGGACATTCCACACCAATGAAGCAGAGATGCCCTGGAGCAAAAAGCAAGAGATACTCTGTGCAGCTAACAGGAGGGACTGTCAGGTTACCATTGCATAGAGCCAGGTGCTGCAGCAAAAATTAATGTAAAAGATGAGTCAAGAGAATGTGATATGGGGCATAAGATGTGTCTAATACAAATAAGTATTTTTTGGACTAAAAATAGACCATGAACCATTTTTCCCAAACAGTCATCTAATACCTTACTCCACTCTCGGTGCTTTCTGTATGAATTCCAGGGATCCCACTTCTTTGAATTATCCACTTGTGGGTCAAAAGCCAAATATGGCTCTGCTGATATTTCTAGAAGTTACAGAACATCTAATATTTTAAACAAAAAACTAACTGGAAAACTTTTTGACACCTAATTTTGATGGTCAGAAACCAATGTTTCTTTTTGCCTCTTTCAAATAATTTTTTTTACAGGGACTCTGCAGGCAAGTTACCGGGCCATTGGTCACCCAGGGAAAATGAAAGAGAAATAGGCTAAGAAGGAAAATGCCGTCCGTTGGTCAGTGTTGTTTACTGTTCACTGACAATATGTATGCCGACCTTGTATCTCTCCAACACCAAATCCCTGGGCTTCCATGTCCTCAAACAAAAAATAAAGGTAAAAATGCCTTCCCTTCCGAGTGACCGTAAGGCTGATAAAATACCTGGAACACTCCTAGTCATTGTTCATAAGGTACACAGTAGGCATTTAATAAATGCTGGCTGTGGTCCACATGAACATGGCCATGCAGGTAGAGATTACTTCTAGCCTGTGCTCTCAAAGTCTGGTGTTCCAGGAGCCCCACCTGTCTTTAATATAAAACAGGTTCCTCGCTATTAAATCGCAAGTTCGGTCCATTAAAATTCTTCAGTGCAAGCAACAAGCCTTGCTACCTTAAGCAAATGGGAACTGAATTTGGAGGATGGCTCACCAAGTTCAAAGAGGAAAGGAATAACCAGAATCAGGGATTTTATGATAGGCGGGCAGGAACCATCCGTCTTGAATGATCTCACCACCTGCTTTCTGTCTCTGGGGAATCGAGTTCCCAGAGCAGGGGCTCTCGAAATGTGACCCCTGGACCAGCATCTTCTGGGAACTTTGCAGGGGAGGAGATGCAACAATCCGTCCAGGTGATTCTGATGCACAGCCCAGCCTGAGAAACCCTTTCCCAGAAGAGCATCTGAATGGCCTGGTTGGGTCACACTCCCAGCCCTTGACTGGGGGGTTAAGGGTCACAATGGGCTGGATTTCTGGGACCACATGAAGTGGGAGGGGCAAAGTTCCCCAAAACAGAAGAAGGGGGTGGGATACTGAACCAAAGAATAACACCAACGGTGCTGTCATAGGAGGGGGATTCTGGGATTCAGTCTTGGGGTCTCCTCTGCTAACCAGTCTTCTCTGCCCTTTGTCAATAGGCTGTGCATTCATTCCCTTGGGAAACCCCGCTCGGGTCTGCCAGAACCCCAGAATGATGGCTGAAAAATGGCCCTCATTCTTCCCTCCAGCACCTCCTGTCTCACTGTCCTCCTGAGACCTGTCGCGCGCTGAACTACCAGGGTGCAAGCCCTTCTTTCCTGAAGCATCAGGTGGGTCTCAGAAAAGTCGTGGGTGACAGGAACAGAGACTGATTTATTTGTTGGCACGTCCAAGATGAGAAGGTCGATCAGTTTCCTATGTTGCTGCTGCAAAACAAATTAAGTGACTTGAAACAACACGTAAGTATTCCTGTGTGGCTCTAGAAGCTAGAAGTCCAAAATCCGTTTCTCGGGGCTGACTTCAAGGTGTCAGCAGGGCCCTGCTTCCTCCAGAGGCCCTCAAGGGGAATCTGCTTCCTTCCCACCCACCCACCCCCCCCCCCCCGCCGGCATCCAGCACTGCTTTCCTTGGTCTGCGGTTGCTTCCTCCACCCTCCAAGCCTCCATCATCACACTGCCTGTCTCTATTCAAATCTCCCTGTGCCTCCCTCTTAGAAAGGCGTTATGATGGCGTTGGGCCCACCTGGAGAATCCGCAAAACACTCCCTGATCTGCAAAAGCCTTTTTATCACGTAAGGTAACTGTCACCGGTTCCAGGGATTCAGACCTGGCTGTCTCTGGGGGCCGTTCGTTGGCCTGCACAGACAGCCTCCAGCGAGCACAGCCTCCAACGCCTCCAGGTGACGCCAGGAATCAGAAATGGGGCAAGTGGGCCAGGTGCGGATTGGGGAACATGGATGCCCATCTGGAGGGGAAAACAGTACTCTGCTCCAACTCTTGGATCTTAGTCTAGCGCACAGGTGGCAAACGCAAGGCCCACTGGCTGAATCTGGGCTTCCACCTTGTTTTGTCCAACCTGGCGCCTGTCTCTTTCCACCCAGCAGCAGCACTGAGCTCTCACTTAACTATTAAGGAGTAGTTACATTTATACAGTCCTAACATTACACTCAGCCCTTTGAAGGCAACCGTGAGGCTGATGTGGCCCCCAGTGAAAATGAGTTTGACACCTCTGGTCTAGAGCTTCTAAAAACGAATATCTTGGGGTTTAATTATGAACAACAGATTCCACTTTTTGAAAGAAAAAGATTTTTTTATTAAAAGTGTAAGCTGCATTCAGTGGCTGCCAAATGCAAGAGGAGTCCAATCCCTGAGTTAGGACAAAACTCCTCCTACCCACAAGAAGATACACCCTGAGTTCTTGCGAGCAGAGCTGGAGAATCAAACCTCATTTGGGGTCACTGATGTGTGGACAGCATCCAGGGCAGGAGAAAAATGTGAGAACTAAGGGAAGAAAAGGATTATATATGATACACTTTATATTTCTAAGTATATTGTTTAGA